ATGGCCTCCAACCTAAGAGCGATGGCCTCCAACCTAAGAGCGATGGCGCCTCAAACAGCGATGGCCTTCACCGACAACCTACTAAGGATGGCCTCCAACCTGGAAGCAATGGCCTCCACCTAGGAGACTATGGACTTCACAGGTTCGCGACTCTACTGGCATCTCCCGAACGGTCTTCATCAAACGCATGGCCCTTGAAGAGATTCTAGCATTCTGCGATGAACGCACAGTGCAGAGGGGAAAGACAAGTATGCTAGTGACGAAAGCATACTTGGTAGACACTCACAGCGTCTCCGAGCTACCAGTGCTCCGAGGCGGCCAAAGAAGGAGCGGACCACAGGACCAGGGATGTCCCCGACGAGTTGCAGGATGTTGTGAAGAAGCTCCACGCTGCAGTCAAGTCAACAAGAACAAGCGTAAAAGAGCGAAAAATACAAGGGCAAGCACCCTGGCATGATGAAGGCTCGCAACCGCAAGTCCAAACAGGGGCCGCTTCGGCAATTCCTGTCCAAGCTGGGGCCACTTTTTGCCAGGCTGGCCTCAGTCGGAGCTGTTTTCTTTTGTGTTCTTTTTGAAATGGATAAGGGTCGTGGCACCTGGACTTTTCATGTATAAACCTCAACGGGACGCTCCACAACGTGACATGCTGCCTCTGCCCTCCCTTAGGGAGGTTAGCCCGGTTCGAGGAAGAGTGTGTTTGGTTTCCAGAAATCTTAGAAAACGATCTGCCATCAATGTCATGGTGAACAAGGCCATTCACTAATTGAATTCGCTTTATGTTGGTGGAAGCGGAGGTGAGGTGGTGGCGTCTCGTCTTCTGGGCAGTCAGAACGAGCTACCAGGAACCCCAAACGGGCGTTGAATCGACTTTCGTTGCCGTCGGGTAAGGTTGCTGGTGTAGATCTAGAAGAGTCTCTCACTGGTCCTCTTAAGGACATGGTCTGTGACTTGGAGAACTGGATGCTTCAGGATGCTTCGCTTTGGAGTTGAACTTGTGATAAGGCCCATCAAATTACAGCACACCATTATAATGATCCCAGCCTGTATAACCATGCTAAGTACCTGCAGTTTTTGCGGCACTTGAAGCAATGTGGCATTTTAGGATACACGCAGACTTGTCAGGGCAGAGTGGGAGCTTGGTGCAACGGCAGCGTCTCATACTGGATTGTCGTCCAGTGAAACTTTTCTTCAAAGAGCCTCTCACAGAAAAAGGAGCCAGAGAGCTGGAAACGGAATCATACATGTGTACATATATAACTATATCTATATGTGTAATGCGAAGACCGGATTAATAACCCCCGCCACGTGGAAGGTCTGAATAATCTGCTCAGGGAGTAGTCGTAGTCGTAGTCGTCGTAGTCGTAGCCGTCGTAATCGTAGTCGTCGTAGTAGTCGTCGTAGTAGCAGTAGTAGTAGTAGTAGTTGTTGTTGTTGTTGTTGTGTGGTAGTAGTAGTGGTAGTAGCAGTAGCAGTAGTAGTAGTAGTAGTAGTAGTAGTGGTAGTAGTAGTGGTAGTGGTAGTGGTAGTGGTAGTGGTGGTGGTGGTGGTGGTGGTGGCGGTGGTGGTAGTAGTAGTAGTAATAATACCAAAATTTGACCTGGTTGTGGGCTCGGATTAAGTGGGGGGGATTTCTGGTAGAAAACCAGACCATAGGGGGGGAAATCAACAACCAATACTATTTTTAATTTGGGCAATTTCCGGCGGCTTTGTGGGCTCAGATTAACTGAGGGGGAATTATTGATCCTGACTTTACATTATACATGTATATATATATATATGTGTGTGTATGGCAAATGTATATGATAGTTTACAAAATCTGTGGAGGCCATGGTGCGATAAGTTCCAAACATCAGAGCGGTTGGTCGGTTGGCCAAAACAGAAACAACCACAACACCCTGGCATTTGGCAATTGGATACGATCTCATTCTTCTCTCTACTGCGATTGTCCCGACATGAGCTTGTCTCAAAAAAGGTCGACAGGACATGTTCACAAACGAGTGGAGGCAAAGGCGGAGAAAAAGGGAATGATGGCGGGCGGAAAATGAGTGGGACATGTAAGTACGGAGATTATGTACAGCTACTAGGACGCTGCTAGGAACAAGTGCATCGCTACTAGTAACAAATGCCTTACTAGTAGTAACAAGAAGCTATTAAAAAAAAAAAAAAACGATAAGAAGCTATAGAATTAATTAGAATTTGTACAGCTCGTGTCACAAGCCCAGCGAGTTTTTGCCGACCAAGCTTCACCGGCGTTGCCGGAGACTTGGCTGACGAAGGTGACGTTGGGCGTGGCGTAGGCGCGGAAGGCCCAGTGGTCACAGTCCTGGGGGCGCGCCGATGGGGTCAACTGAAGCGGCTGCGGCGGAGTTTCAGATCTGGCTTGAAGTGGATGGAAAGACCGGATCATAAAGAAATAGTTCTTCTTTTTAGGACTCCAAATGAGATTGTTCAAGTGGTCTCTTCCAAAAAGTGAAAAGATGTCGAAGCTCGAACGAAAAAATTGAAAAAACATTATCTAAAGGATGGTCATCTTTTGTGCTTCTTCTTGCTGCAGCAGTCGATCTTGCATCTGCTTCTTCAGCCTACATCGCCCCAGCAAATACGCCTGGCGCGAAGAAAACCGGTCCTCGCTCTTCGGTGTCAGGTCTGGACGTTGAAGCACTAAACCAAGACCCATGGTGGTGGTCGTAGTGGTGGCCTCAAGCGACGCGTGAAGAGCTGTGAAAAAACGAAAACACATGAAAACACGGACTCGGCAAAGCGAGGTCTGTTGAACACGCCCTGCTTGGCAGAAGGTTTCAGCATTTGACGGGAACAATGAATGCAGGAGCCAGAATGATGGACTCCGTCTTGAACTCACCCCTGCTCCCTTCATCTCACAGCGGACACCCTGCTGCTTTCTGATCTACTTTCGGGCTGCAAAGAACTTTGGCAAATGACTCTTCAGGGAGCACATCTGCCTGAACCAGACCTCCTCCCTACACCAGCCTCCTTTTTCGGTTTCGGAACAAGGGACCACGTCGTTCTACAACTAATTCTGATTGTTCTTGGGTACCCCTGCCCAAGGCACGTCTGGTTCAGGTGAATAGTGTCATGTCACTTCAAGAAGCATCTTACACTAAAGGTAGCCTCGTTTCCTTGGGCTGTTTCCGCGGCCTCATGATTGCGCATGCTGGGTTCCAAAGCCGTGCGTTTGCCAATTCTATAGGTTAGCTGGAGCCATGATTAAACCTGTAGGTTGGCAACCTACATGTTTGTGAGTCTGCATCGCCGGCATCTTGGCAAACTCTAGATCAGTTCCAAAAATGTAGGTTGACCGTTATATGTCTGCATCAGCGGCACCTCTGCCCAATATATGGTTGATGTTCGGGTTCCCAAGCAGTAGGTTGGCACACTCTAGGTTCAAGCCATGATTGAACCTATAGTTTGGCAACCTGCAATTTGATTGGTCTGCTTCTACCTAATAGTTGATCTGGAGTTTCCAAGCAGTAGATCTTCAAACTCAAGAAAAGATACCAAGTTCAGGACTAGCCTATGCTTTCCAGCTGTGTTTTTTTCGGTCGGAGAAGCTCAACTCTGTCTGGACCCACCTTTGACCATGAAATGGGGCCTGACCTACCTATCAAATGCGCGAAGAAACACGAAAGGAAAACGTACGGAGGTCTCATGTTGTTTCAAGGCGAGGAGCGAGGACGATGGAAATTCAACGCCCCACTGAGACGCATTCAACTTGTTGTTTCTTGCTGTTTCTGTGCCCCATTCAAGCTTACGCAATGCTTACGCAACACCTGAGTCGGCACCTTAGGCTGTGGCTGGGTTGGGATCAGGGCCAGTGCCGCACTTGTGGGCTGCACTGATCAAGTTCACCATCAGATCCTCAGTGAAGTGGCTGTCAGCACAGCTCTACATTCCGCTGAATGAGAAGCAGTCGGTGGATGTGGATGTCATTCAACTGATGGATGGAGTTGCAAAGGAAGTCCGATAAGAAGAGATACACAGTGGATCATTCTGTTCCTTTGCGAGTGGCTGATTTCTGGGTGATGGGCTGGTCAGCAGCGGTGCATTTGTCTCAAGCTTGACGACCACTGCGAGGTCACACCGGGTTGGCGCGGCTCTCGATGTTCGCCCAAGCGAACACCCGTCCCGGTGGGATGGATTCGTCCCGATGGGAGAGGCTCGTAAGTTGGGGAAGCGGAGATCGTACTGAGACGATCGTAAGATGGGGAGATGACAATTACTTCGATGCAAACCTCATAGACCAAAACCGCCAAAACCATCCAACATGTGGTTTCCGGGGGTTAGAGCTCGGGGCCCAGGAAGTCTCCAGCCAAAGCACCACTTTGGCCACGTTCAGCGTGAGCTTTCGCGTCACAAAGACGACCTCCCAGGCGCGTTCACCGACGGCGTCGGCTCGGCGAAGCCATGCGGACGCCGTCTTCGCTTCGCTGGCGCAGCTCATGGATAGGACATCGCTGGATAGGTCGAAAGCAAAGGCGTTTGACCTCAAAGATCCCTTTCACCCCCAAAAATGGAAACCTAGACTGAAGAGTAAAAGCGCCGCATTGCGCAGATGTAAAGACATCCTGGTAGGGGGTTCTTAGTCAACAGTCTACATTAGGAGTGTTGCCTTGAACTTCTTGCACGATTCGTTGCAGATCGCCACTAAGATACTAAATAAGGGCAAAGACGCGTCTAGGTCCACCTCTTCTGGTTCACGACAGTAAGAATCACCTGGCAGACTGCGCACCTGGCAGACTTAAAGGACTTATATAACTTATAGTAGCTTCTTGTTACTACTAGTAACAGGTGCCTTACTAGTAGTAACTAGAAGCTATTAGATTATAACCAAAAATCTCAACGCCACCGACTCACAGGTAGAATACCTATTAGGTTGGAGCGCCATCCCTACTAGGTTGGAAGCCCTAAGAATGACCAAAAAAAGACGAACAGTAACGCCAGCGCTGCTGAAACGGCCTTCGTCGGGCTCCAGGATTCCACATCCGCCAGGGTGCCCAGGGCCGCAGCCGTCAACTGGCGACGAAGTGGGGCCCCACGGCCGCCCCACCGGCACATCTCAACAACATCTCAACAGCGAACCCAAAGACCACTTTCAAAGAACCTTTCAAAGAGCAGCTTTCTCAGCTGGTTTTGTAGTATGAAATCCTCCGTTAAAAACCATGTTCATTCGGAAAGAACCAGTAAATCACTGGTGGCGCGAATCCTAGGGTATGGATAGACAAGCTCTACTGACCACTGACCACATCTGAATATCAAGTCCTGTGAAAACACAAAGAAGCGTGGCATCCCCTATGCTGCAGCCATTTCACGAGCCTTGGAGCCTTCACTGTGAGAAACCAACCAACCAAACGAAGCTTTTGGGATATGGTGGTCTTCCCAGTTGATCACGGTTGACTCGAGAAACACGGACACCTCCAATTCCGTACCATCCCTTCGTTCGTTCATCTCCTCCCATCCTGCCATCCATCTCCCTAAGCCGATGCCTTCCACCGTGACCACCCCCGCCTGGCTGGTCATCGCGGCGTCGCCAAAGCCGATGCCTTCCACCGTGACCCGGGCACCGCCCTCCTCGGAGCCCACGGGCGGGTCGACGCGGTGGATCTCGAAGCGCCTTGGGCCGGTGAGGAGACCAGTCTTGGTGATCCATTTCGGAAACCGCTTGGAAGGCCGGAACATGGAAAAAGGGAATGGTTTGGAACATGGGGTGGTGGATGTTTTTGAGAACATGGGGAATCGACAGGGGATGGTAGGGGTCTGGTAGTCTGGCCGACAGGATGAGGGGGGAAATCATGAGATTGGAGTCGTGTCATGTTTTGTTACAAGTAGCAAGAATGCTACTAGTAGCGGAGCGTTTCCAGGAGCCCCCCAGTAGCGTCCTTGCTCCTGTTTTGGGATTGTCATGTTCAGTTTACACCTGAGGTGCAGAACTGAAAGTTCGGAGGTGTCTTCTCTTCTCGGCCAGGGCACGTGTCCAGGTATGATGGACGCTCTGAGATGCCATAGCCTCTGCTGGTCACCTGGGCCCGCCAGACCCTCGCGGCCGGAAAAGGCCTCGAAATGGAAGTGCACCAAGTGCTTTGCAGCTTGGCTTGACATCCTTTTTGGGCCGCCCAAACTGAACATCAGCTTCTCCGACCAGGTGAAGGCTGCCCCCCCACCATCTGTGAGCCGAGTCCGCAATCGCCCGCATCGGACAGGGCACCAAGAGCTTGGGCTTCACAAAGAAGTTGGGAGGCTTGATGATGCCTCAGCACAAGCATACACAAGCACGCACAAGCTCTTCAGCTTCACATTCACGCTTCACACACCTCGCATAGATGTGAGAAATGTACCTGGTGGCTTTCCTCCAAGGCACCACTCAGGGCCAAGTCGGAGTTGGAATTTCGGGATTTGGAACCAGTGCTACTAGGAACAAGAAGCTAGTCTGTACTGTCACCAATTCTCATGATTTGCCAAGCATCCAGATGCTTGTCCATTCATCCAAACATCCAAATACAATGAACAAAATTGTTAAGCCATCTCACAACATCCGCGCTTGCCCCAGAAAGTGTCTGGAAACGCTCTGGACTAGGCGCAATCTTCGTTGTAGATGTCCTGTCAAATGTTTCTCATGACATCGGCACTCACCCAACACTAAGAGCAGTGGTTGAAAACCGAAGAGGTGTGCTTACAAAGAAGCACCGCTGCCGATCTGCGAGATGAGTCTCGAACAAACCCTTCGTCCGCAGAAAACCCTCATGTCTCCTCTGTTCGCCAATCGACAGGGACCGAGTGGTGAGTCCTTGTTCTCGGTGCAGAGGGGCTTGTGCACCATGGCGGATCTCCTGTCACCGTCGTTCACGGTGCACCGTGAACGGTGCAGTATGGGATTCAAAGGAACGCTTTCTCCATCAAGAGAAGTTGGGAGGAGGGAGCAGGGACAGTAGACATGCTTTAAGCTTTGGCGTTTGGGGGCAGTGATTGATCATGGGCGGCTGTCGATTTTGTTAAAACCACCTTGGCGAGGGAAGTTGGGAAGTATGGAAAAGCCATTGGGAACAGAAGGAGCAAGGACGCTACTAGTAACAAAGGGCATTGCTACTAGGAGCAAGGACGCTACTAGAGGCGCTCCTGGCCTTACTACTAGGAACAAGAAGCTACTAGTAACATTCGACTGACATTGTCTGCCGAGGCCCGAAGGAACCAGCATGAAATGACGGGAAGGTCTGCATATCAAGTCCCTTCTGTGCGATGTCAGCTTGCTTACTTCAACTTATTCTGATCCTCGACCTAGGGCACTGCCTCATACAAGCCTAGGTCGAAGACAATCAAAAAAGAGCCAGCCATGCGGCATGCCTTTTCACAGTTGCATCGTTGAGTAGTGTTATGAACGGAATTCCAGTTGCTACATCCTTGTTGCCACCGACATAGCATCAAGGGGCTTTGGCATCAAAAATGTCACATTGGTGGTTAACCTTATCACAAACTTGACACCTTCTCTGTCCAGTGTCTAATTACATGGTCAGAGGTGTCACTCTAGGTTCCGGCGGCAGCAGCTGCAGCAGCAGCAGATCTCTGCTTTGCATTGCAGCTGAAGCTCAGAAGGCAAGCAGCCGAAGCCACCCTTCGCATCGTTTCGTCAAGCCAAAGCCACTGCCGCAAGTGCACCCGCTCTACCACCTGAGCTGCTCCAGTTCTGGGACCAAAGGCAAGTTCTGAGTGTCCAAAGACACTGGCCCTTGGTCTTCCGTTGAGACTTCCGATTTGGCGCGTGAAGGCGGCAGGACCCAAGTGGTCCGAACCCGGCCCCGTTCTCTTCTGTGACAGATGGAGAAAGGCGGCTCCACGGGCCTCCGCCCAGGATGATCAAGGCAATCATGGACATCAAGGCAAGAAATCATGGGATGATCATGGTGCAGTCCAGGGCCAAAAAGCTCCAGCTTTCAAGGCTCTTCCACCAGCCGATGAGGTGTCTGAATGTGCCTGGTGGCATCATCCGTGGACTCGTCATCGCTTGGTCATCGCTGAGTGGTGACATCTTCGTTTCTGCCAGCGTCTCAGCGTGGTCCACCAGCGTGGCCCACCAGCGTCGTCACCCGACTGGGCGACCGGCGTCAGCGTCGTTCCAGCAGCGGGGGTGTTGTCCAAAAGAAAAAAGGACGCCACGACGATGTCGGCGTCGTTCTGAGGTCCCAGGCTTCAACTGGCAAATGATGGTCGTCTGATTCACCTCCCAAACTCGGCCTAAGGCCGATTCCAAGGGTGAAAGACCAAAAGGATAGATCTTTGGCCACGATTCCATGCTTGAAAACCGAACTGACAAAAGACTGGCTGAGAAGCAGAAGCAGCTTTGCCTTTTTCAGGTTTGGGCAAAATTTGTTTGAGGTTTTGCACTCTCAGCAACCTTAAGGGGGTAGAGGTAGAGGGTATGCGCGATTGTTTCAGCTGACTGAACAAGCCCGCTGTTGGAACCAAAGACCTAGAATGGTCGTCTATTTGCTTTTTTTTTTTACCAGGGGTCCAAATGGTGCGCCTATTCTATTGCACACATACAAGACTCGTTTGCAGCTGCCGCAACCTTTCATGACTTCCAGCTTTTCCCTGCGCCAGTTCGGGCAAGCTGCACGGCCGGTCTCCAAACATGATCTGCACCTGACGAGAAGCCGGCAGTCACTGCCAAAGAAGCTCGCGGCATCCAAGATGCTTGAAGTTAGGGGTGAATAGATGTGAATAAATGAGTAACAAGTGCCTTACTAGTAGGAACAAGAAGCCATTAGAAACAAGTGCATCGCTACTAGTAACAAGCGCCAAACTACTAGTAACAAGAAGCTATTAGAAATTCAAGTCTCAAAGCTCCTGTGGATGGTCATCGGTCATCCCAAGAAAGCCCTATCCGTCACCCACTCTCCTGGCGTTGGAGCAAGCCGAAATTGAACCCACTCAGCGTGACATTGCTGGTGATGGCGAAGGACAAGGCCTTGGGCTCTGGCAGAGAAGGCAAGGTTAGAACCGTTACACCCCCTGTTAGGCTTCCTCAGTTGCTTCTGCCAATCCATGGCCTGGACATCAAGGAGCTAGCTGCTGAGCTGCTGAGGTGTTTTCAGAAAAAAAGAAATATTATACCGGCATAGACCCCAGATAGCACCCTGTATAAACTCGCTATCGTTGTTTTACTGTTATCGTTTCTGGGCCGGCAATGCAAAAGTAGTGTTAAGGCGCATGCCAATACTGAACTGCTGAGCACGGGGTTATTTCAACAGCCCAAGTGTGCAAGTAGGCGCATGTGGTCATGTGCAAACCTTTCAGAACGCCTGCGCGTTCTCACTAAAAGCGTGTGTTTCCTGCCGAAAGTAACGATGCTTAGTTTGCCACATAAAAGATGCAAGCGACACAAGGCACACCATCCCACTCAAAAACCTAAATCACATAACAGCATCCACGTCAAAGGCAGGCAAGAAAATGACAAGGCGGCAGCGGCAGCCAAGAGCGAAATCATGAACAGAGACAAACTTGGGAGACAAGGCGGCAGTGGCAGCCAAGAGCGAAATCATGAAGGAAGACAAGATTGGGAGACAAGGCGGCAGCGGCAGCGAAAGTATGAAGAAAGACAAGCTTGGGAGACAAGGCGGCAGCGGCAGCCAAAAGCGAAATCATGAACAGAGACAAGCTTGGGACGGCAGCAGCACCCAACAGCGAAATCATGAAGGGAGACAAGCTTGGAAGACAAGGCGGCAGAGGCAGCCAAGAGCGAAATCATGAAGGGAGACAAGCTTGGAAGACAAGGCGGCAGAGGCAGCCAAGAGCGAAATCATGAAGGGAGACAAACTTGGGAGACAAGGCGGCAGCGGCAGCCAAAAGCGAAATCATGAAGGGAGACAAGCTTGAGAGACAAGCCGGCAGTGGCAGCCAAGAGCGAAATCATGAAGGGAAACAAGCTTCACAGACAAGGCAGCAGCGGCAGCCAAAAGCGAAATCATGAAGGGAGACAAGCTTGGGAGACAAGGCGGCAGCAGCAGCCAAAAGCAAAATCATGAAGGGAGACAAGCTTGGGAGACAAGGCGGCAGCGGCAGCAAGAGCGAAATCATGAAGGGAGACAAGCTTGGGAGACAAGGCGGCAGCGGCACCCAAGAGCGAAATCATGAAGGGAGACAAGCTTGGGAGACAAGGCGGCAGCGGCAGCCAAGAGCGAAATCATGAACAGAGACAAACTTGGGAGACAAGGCGGCAGCGGCAGCCAATTTCCGCAATCAGGAACCCATCCAGTGAGAAGTAAGAACCCCTATAGCTTCCAGCTATCTGGGGAAAAACATACTAAACAAGATCTAAACACAAACGGCACCAGTCTTCCAGTGCACTCTCACCCATCAACACCCAACTGATCATGGGCCATCACCTCCCCATGTTTGTGCCAAAACCCTCGGCGCATGCATCACCTGCCGTGTCACTCTCCAACCTTATAGCAATGGCCTTCAACCTACTAGCAATGGCCTCCAACCTCATGGGAATGGCCTCCAACCTAATAGCAATGGCCAGCACCCCTTTTTGATCCTTTTTTCGGGTTCTTCCTCCGGGTCACCGGGCAGTGGGACTCACACTCTTCACGATGGGCGTATGGGGCCGTGAGTAGGTGAAGGTCAATGGCGTCCCAGCACTGGAGGCTTGTTGCCCGTTCACCTTGCACCGAGGAGATCGCGTTGCCCGTGGGACCTTCATTCTGGGGGACATGTCGTTGGCATGCCTTGGGAAGTCCACCAACACAAACACCATTTATATGATACCTGTTAGGATGCAAATTACTAGGTGGAGGCCATCGCATGTAGGTTGGAGGCCATCGCTAGTAGGGGCGAGAAGCTAGTTTCATGATCTTGAATCACTGCCCAAAAGCATCTTTCCAGCAAGTCAAATGCCTCGATCTGATCTCTTTCAATTCCAAATCTGAGTTCCCCGGCATCCACCAGCATTGCTTCCTGGAATACATGCGGTCAAATCGAAGATCCATGCACCATCGAACCATGTCGAAGCATGTCTGTAGCTGAGTTGGCATTCGAAGGTGGTGTCAAGAACGGTCCAGTCTGCACGACTTCAGTGGAACAAACAGGGAAGAAACGGGATCCTTGCAATCCAAGTCGTGGGCCAAGATCTAAGATTTGGATACACCAAGCAAATATGGCCAACGGTCTGCCCCAAAAACAACGCACTCCACGTCAATGCCTTTCCAAGTCCTTCCATCAAAAAGGCCCACCCGACTGCCCCGAACCACGGTCTTCTTCGCCTCGAATTGAGTGCTGCTCCAATGGGACAAGTCCACTTCAGGGAGTTGGCACTCCAGCACTGGCGCCACGTCGCCGGTAAACGCGATGCTCCGTGGTTTCGTGGAGGGGTTGACACTCCATGTGGTCATGGCTCAATAGGATCCATGGGATCCATGGGATCTGGTCAAAAGCGGGTGGAGAAGATGAAATTCGCCTTGGATGTGGTGAGCCAATTCCGTTGCAGTCGTGGGAACCTGCGAACATGTGAATACATGAGTCGTCTTGAGTCGGAAGCACTTTGGGGAATCCACTGTGATCTAACAATACTGCGCCCGTAGTGGGACGTTGACCAGGCATGGCATCATCAAGCTTGGCTCACTTGGCAGGGTGAACGTGCGAAACACAAAGAGAAGAAAAGCGTCTTTCGGAACAACATGCAAAATCTGAATGCCCCGATCCGGCTGGCTTGATAGCGATTAGCATGCCATAGCGAGTGTCGTGATCCTTCATCTCACCTGGCTGGTCTAGCCCTTCACCCGCACCTTCCAAGGTTCCAAAGGTCACGTTGCACTCTCCTGGCGCTTCGCCGCACTCGTCGCGCCGCGAGCGTCTCGTCGCGGCTAGAGCGACCACGTGGGTCACACACAGCGCGTCCTGCGAGCTCGCCCTTCAACAAGCCGCTCTTGTGGTAGAGCGTCACGTTGTTCTCGGAGCCTCGGAACTTCCCCCCCCCAGGCTCGGCGCGTTCTTCCAAACGACCGAGCCCAGCACCCCAAGTTATGATGGAAGATGGAAGATGGAAGCAAATCCCATAAGTTCTCTTCTCCCCTCTCAAGAGCACCTGGGCGCCTGAGACACCAAGTCCAACTGGCTCATCACCTCAAACCCAAAGCCTTACTACTAGGAGCAAGGACGCTACTAGGGGCTCTGGCCTAGCAAGAAGCTACGAGGAGCAAAGGGCATCGCTACGAAGGGAGCGATCGGACGCTACTCCTTGGACCTCCGCCTGGTCCCGTGGACCCCGGGCTGGGGAGCTTGAAGCCGGTGCCAACGATCCGCACCTCAGAGCCGGCAACGGAGCGAAGGAACCCCGTTCGTGGCGATGCCCGTCCTTGCTCCGTTCGTGGCGTCCTTGTTCCTAGTACGAAAAGCTTCCAACCGAGAAGCAATGGCCTCCAACCTCCAACCTACATGAGAGCTCTACTCGAACATCGTTCAAAGCTCCACGAGAATTCCACGAACTGCGAGGAACACATCTTCATCTCTTTCGCCTCCCGTCTGACGTTCGACGATCGGAACCCACCGCGGGCTTTGCGAGAAACAGATGCGCCCAATGATCGAAGACACACCCGAAGTGCGGTCAAGTATTCCTGATGTGAGAGTGCCTAGGCACCCCAAGCAGTGTCGTGCTCATGTTTTGGAACATCTTTCTTTAGAAACCAACGGGGTCCCAGTTGGGGACACCTCCGTGGCATCCGCTGTGGCTCCTGCAGTGGCTCCGCCCAACATCGAGCCCACGCTGGGACTGAGACGCTCCACCTGGAGAAACAGCTCCGCCCGTGCACATGAAAATCAAGCGAAGGGACTCTGGAGGGCCTCAATGTTTTGTCGCCAGGTGCTTGCACCAAAAAAGAACTCTGCTTGAAAAAGCACACGGAACCACCCACCCAAATCCCAGGTCACTTGCGAAGGAAATGAAGCTATTGATGTCCTGTTCATTCCAACCTTTGTTGGTTCCTTCCAACCTCTTCGGAACAGAACGTCCGGATCGCCGACTCTGGTGGATGGTCACTTGGGGAGTGTCCATGTCCAGACATGTGTTACGTGACTCTGAAACCCAACCAATGCACGCGTCACGCGTCATGCGCCTTTGAGGGACCTTTCACCGTACCTCGTCTCGCCTCACCAGCTACAGACCAGCTGACTCAGCTCACTTGTCTAAAGCTCGGTGGGTCAAAGCGACTCAGCTGATTCAGCCTCTAGCCTCAGGCCCCACCTCATTGAGCTCCCCAAACTTCACCAGCACTGAGTCCTACCCGATGTCTTCGGCGTGTGTGGTTTTTACACACAGGGCCGGGCCGGTGTAAACGAAGCCGGAGTGCCCCGGTCCATGAACATGGATTCAAGAATGGTCCAAGAATTCTGAATGGATTGAATAATTCAAGAGATGTGTTGAAAAGAATGGCTTGTTTCAAAAAAGTGCTTCTTTGGGATCCACAAAGTTTGGCTTCGCGACTCCAGGAGCCCGTTCTTGAGAGATATGTCATTCTTGAAGGAGCATCTTCTCCTTTTTCCAGTAGCGTCCGATCGCTCCCTTCATAGCGATGCCCGAAATGCTCCGTCCGTAGCGTCCTTGCTCCGTTCGTAGTAAGGCCAGGAGCTACTAATCGTGCATTATCTGCCGGTGTTTTTTTTCCGCCCTCCGACCCCACCACGCCCCCACACCCCCAGTCCGCCAGGACCCGTTCGAAGTGACGCCCGATCACCTGAGAGGACCGTGCCAGCCGTGTTCGAAGTGACATCCCTACGGCCTCGTGGAATGTTCCGGGTGATCTCTGGTAGGTTCCGGGTGATCCCAGTGGTTGTTCCAATCGCTTTCGCTGGGAGATGTCGCGGGTGCTGGTCAACCCGAGTCAAGCTACGGCCACATCTTTGTGAAGCGAGAATGGAATGAACATGGGACGAAAATATGGGGCCCGGCACCGACAGAGAAGTAAAGAGGACTGTGACTATGGCGGCTATGGTCCTCCATACTACAACAAGCAGCCCAAGGGTGGTTTGGATGTGTTTCTCGCTTGTTCGCTTCAGGCAACGTCCAACAATTGCCCCCTCAACCAACAATGACCAGCAGGAAGTCAGCATGTCAAAAACCAAGGGCCACTACAACAAACGAATTTGTTCCACTGGACATGAATAAAAACTGGGACAGGTGCTTTCACTGTGATCCTCGCCCTTAGGTTCTGAAAGATGCAGGACATCGACCAATGCCTGCAGGTCGGAGTCATCCAGGATTGGAGAGAAGTCAGCCCAACCTGCGCCATGTGTTATGTGTCCAAACAGATCTATCTCGAGCCGATGTGCATCGGGAGAAAAACACCGACGGATGCCGCGGAAACCCGCGGCCTTTCCAGCCAGCCATGACCTTCATCTCCTGAGAAAGGCAGCTCGGTGGGACGGCACGACGATGCAGCTCGCCACGATGCGTGATCCGAGTTCGGTCGATCAAGTAGCGACGCAGCCGAGCTGTGAGATCACCGGTCCATAGCAATGGGCCTCCAACCTACTAGCAATGGGCCTCCAACCTAGTATCCCACCTCACGTCGCACAGACCATCCCCGCTGCTTCAGTGCTTCACAGTGGCCGACCATCCCGCCACGCAGACCGGAACTTCAAAGGTGACCTCTGCAGCCGTCGGGAGACTGGTGTACTGGCCGCCAGACTTGGCAGCCAATTGAAGCGCGTCCATCCAACAAACTCCCCATCAGCTCTCCCCTCAAAAACACGGTGGAAAATCATGAAACGAGTGAAGACTCACACTGTTTCCACCAATGTGGGGAAACGATCTTGGCCAACCTGGAGAAACGAGTCCAACCATGCGTGAGGAAACCCCATCTGACCATCGTCGAACGCCCGGGTTGGTCTGGCTGAGGTCTCGGTGAAGTTCACTGATGGGACCTCCACCAAGCCGATCAAGACCTGGCATCGCGACTCAGACGGAGCGATCGGACCGCTACGAGGTAGGGGCGAAACTGGCCTTACGAGTACTATGAACGGAAAAGGAAGCTGCGAACGGGGCTCCTGGAGTGAGTCTGTGAGATGAAACCAACCAATCAAAGCAGTGACTGCACCTGAAACTTGGCAAAGCTATCGGCTTCAGAGTGAAAAACATGTATCTCAAGTCCTCAGAGGTGTCCTGGCCATCCTTCCGAAGTCCAACTTGGGCCTCAGAGGTGTCCTGGCCATCGAGCAGAGGCCTTCCATCCATGCCCCTTCCCCAGAGGTCGTACCTTCACAGCCACCAGCTCATCGAAGTTTCTCACTTCCAGGTTGACGATGGCACCCTCGCTGATGTTCAAGGTGGCCTCCACACGTGCTCGCTGCACCGGGGGGCCGGGCAGGTTCCACACCGAGTGTCGGTGCACCAGGTGCTGCCAGTGATGTGGGAGGGAGTCCGAGGGTGACCCATACACCTATACATACGTTCTTCAGGAATTCCGTTGGGTCTCTGCAGCGGAGGTAGCTGCACTGGTAGCGTAGCGGGCAAACAAGGTAGGTGGTGGTAGCGAACACGATGCGGACCCACCCAAACCAAGGATCACAGAGATCCGGAGCACCTTTTCACTCAGTGCCGTTCGAAGGCCTCCACGGCCTATGTAGCCACCATGGCCGAGTTCCGACCAGATCACGTGGATCAAAAGGGGGCCCCCTGGTTTGGGCCATACGCAAATGGAGAAAACATGGTGTCACCTGAAACACGTCCCAAAGCTGCAGTCTCCGAACTTGATGCAATCGCTACTAGGTTGGAGGCCATTGGTTGGACAGGTCATTGCTATTGGATTTTGAGGTCACAAAGAAGAACGCCAAAAGGTCACGACGAACTGAAGAAGCTTGTTTTGCTGTGCTACTTTCAGCAGATCCAGGCAAGGATATTGCTTAGGAAATGTCCTCTGCTTCTTTGGTAGGCGCTGACTGCAGGAGAATGGATTTGGGCCAGGTCAGTCAGGTGGTTCGATGCCAGAATCCATAATTTGTAGATATGATGATGTGCATTGATGTACAGAATCTCCGATGATGATATGATCCAAGTTTGCAAGCACCAACCCGAAATTCTGCAAACGAGCGACTGCACCATCCACCAAGATCTTCTCCACACCTTACCACCAGACCCTTTCTACCGGTCCCATCAAATGTGAGTCTGGGCAGAATTTTTGAAAACAGGTGTAACGCCTCAAGTTTCCCTCAAACGGAATTCATGTTGGAGGCCATCGCTAGTAGGCTGGAGGCCATTGCTATTAGGGTGGAGGCCATTGCATGTTGGGGTCGAAACGCTCAGTTGCGCACGCTGAGCTCGCGACTGGGCTGTTGGTCCTCACTCAAGTAGCTGAAACCAAAAGGCGTCATTGGTTCAAAGCCTCCGGCGCCAAACTAAGATGGGAAGTGTCCCAGGACAGAAGCGCACCTCATTGGAAGACAGGGATTTCTACAGTGTCAAACAAGTCTATATCAGGTAGTATCCTAAAATGTTCCACCTGGATGGTATGGCTCGGATGGGATCAAAATGGCAGGCCGGCTCCTCGCCCAGTTCCGGACAAAGCAATCAGTTAGAATATGGCTTCTCCAAAGCTGCCAGGACACAGAAACGAGACCCAAAATGAATGAATTCCAATAATCAGAACCCTAGAAGCCTCTACCGCTGGGCACTTCTGACCAGCACTCTTTTGGGCACCAATAAGCTGTGCGTTCCATCATAAAACTGCTCATCGTGACATCGTGATTCTTCCTGCAAAATGTCTGAACTATCTGAAGACATTCCAGCGTCTTCATCCTCCTGAAGTTCACTTCCATCTCCTCTTGCCTCTTCTCTTCTCCTCTCTTCGGATCCTTCACGCTTTGGAAGATCGCAAAACTTTCTGCTTGCATTCCATGCCGCCAAACGGTGGCCATGCTGGCCATAGGCGTGTGAGGAGTCGAAGCCATCGTAAAAAATGTTCATAGCTTTGTGCAGCATGCTGTTGGTGTCCTCCTCGTCTGCATCCAACTGGCCCCGAAAACGCAGCAGCGGGAGCGGCAATTGTGATATGCTGCGAGACCTCATGATGGCCATGTGCATAGCCTGGAGGATCAGGCTTGCCGTCATTGGATCTCCCTGGTGTTGTGTTATCACACTGGAGCCCGTCAAAAGGAAGGGTAGGTTTTGCGGGTCTTCTTCCATGAGGTGATTTATGTCTTCAAGCTCTTCGTGGGTCAAGGCTTCAACCAGCCGCCGAAACTTCTCTAATAATGTTATAGAGGACGCGGATGATGCACCCTGAGTGACCTGTGCATCTTCTGCTAGAGGTTTCTGAGAGGCCAAGGATGCATGCCATGACAATGATGGAGACCTGCAATGAAAGTCAGCAAATTTCAGTCCCATTGCTTGCACAGCTGCCCATGGCGTGGTATGCGGCGCCGATGGATCAATGACCTTTGCATTGAGAGCCCGTCGACGCATGTCTCTTAGTTGCTCCTCGTGCAATGCTCCAACAGAATGATCACCATTGTCACATTCATCAAGAAAGTCCATCTTCCATGGCAGTGCTTTGCCGCTGTCGTTCAGTCCACGGTTGGGGAGGTATGTCTCAAAGCCCGGGTGGCTGTTGCCCGGGATCTCATTGCGGCAAACCACAAGGCCCATGCGCACAAGTGCACGCATCAACAAGCGGACTCCCAGAAATGTAAAATCATTTGGAAGTTCCCAACTGCGATTTGCAAGTGCCTGGGCAACCCAAACTAACTTGGTGAGGGTCGTTTCATCTTGAGTTGGTGTTTCAGCCTGCCCGGGATCAATAGTTTCACAAATTGTGAAGCCGCGAGGTAGATCGGGAAGGTGGAGATGGCCCATCAAGGCACGAAGCTTCTTGGTGATGGACAAAGAGCCCACTGTCAAGGGCTCACCATGCTCCAGCGCAAGCCTGGCGGCTTCCATGTCAGAATCTGAGAGCTTCCCTTTTCGTTGGTGTAGCGAAACCAGCGGCTCAAGGGCCTGGTCCTCATTGCTGCTGCTTGCAGGATCGAAGTCATAGCTGTCATAGCCATCCAAGGCGTTGTTGAAAGCCAGTTTTCTTCTTAGCAAGAGCTCCTGCTCGTCGTCAAGATCTTCCTCCTCTAGACATGGTTTGTCTTCTCTTTCTTGTGAGTTCTCAGGCTTGTCCTTTGTCTGCCCTGATCCTGATGGATCTTCAAAAGGCCTCACCCGTGGTAGAACTATGTCTTCTCCCCAAAATTCACCTCTCACCAGAGTGAGTTCCTTCAGAACGGCCGCAACGGCATCTGGGTTTAGCTCAAGCCATAAGACTGCACTCAGCCATTGGTGATCATTTTCCGGGTCAAGGATTGGGGAGTTGCTTTCTGCATCAGCCTCTGAAGCCTTGTCGTTGTTTGTTGCGGATTCAGCTAAGCAGTGATCTTTGACCGCGGGATCAAGGTCCGCTCCTTCTTCTCGCACGCCGAGGCATGTGGATTCCTGTTGTGGTGGCTCTAGCCAAAACCCGACTGCCCCCGTATTCTCCACCATTTGTACCATTGCAAGACCTTGACGGGTCTTGTCCTCAAGCTCAATGATCACATTACCGATAATGCCGTTGTTCGTCTTCAATAGGCGATGCATTGAAGCCTCACGAGTTCGGCCATCTTGATCCTTTCGCCACTTCATGGCCACCAAATCTTGGCCACCGATGCATGTGGCAGATGTCCAAAGAGACTCGTTGGACACCGCCATTTGAATGCTGTATTCTCGTCTCCGAGATGGACGATGAAAAGCACGACGCATCTCTGGGAGGCTGGCACTCTCAATTGGCGTCTGCATGCGGCGCACGTCAAAGAAAAGGATGGCATCGTGGGATCCTTCACCTCCTGTGGTGACTGCAATTTGGGAGTCGGTGACTGACGTGCCAAGCGCGGGGAACAGGGTCATGTCAGTCACACGCAGCACCGGTGAAAACATTCTGCTACCCTCTGCCTCCCACATTGATTGGGATGAGCGCGATCGAAAGTCAGCCAGCTTGATGGTATTCTCGCATCCTAGAAGCAGCACTGGTGGAGTCAGCCATGCTCCACATTGAGCTTTCTCCACTCCTAGCTCTTGCACTACAGCTGATCTATTCAGATCTAGCACTCTGACCCTCACATCTCCTGCTCCAAGTAGCCCCAAGGCTTCTGGTCTTCCATCATGCGGTGGCACAAGCCGGGTCAGGTTCTTGATCTGCAACGCTGTCGTGATAGACCAATTCTGCTCAGCATCATGCTTGAGCAAGTTGAGCGTTCCAGCTGTGCGTACAACCGCCTGTCTTTGCCAGCTGCAAATCTCCAGCACCGACTCCGGGAAGCATCTGTCTGTCTTCGTCCATTCCATGAAGACTGACTGATCGTACCTTGGCGCATCTTCACTCATTTCCTTGAACTGAAAAGAGAATTTACAAAGCGTCCCGGGATTACCAGGCATGCAACCAATGATCTCTGGCTCCTGAAAGCCTGGCACGAGGGAAAAAGCCCTCCGGAAGGGCTGAGTCTGGTGCGGAGTGATTTTTCGGATGTGCTTCTCCACCTCATTGTGATAGGACTGCCGCATGATCAACTGCAACTCTGGGAAACTGTCACATCCTGACTGATTGGACTGCTTGGATGTGCCAGGATCAAATTTCCAAAATCGCGCCGATTGGGCGGTCAGAGAGCCGATGGGTCCCTTCTTCCCAAGCTCATGATCAGCCAAACTTTGCAAATCTCTTGTCTCTCGGGCCATGGCGAGCAAAGCTGATGGTGTACAAATCTTGGCTGCAAGCACCAAAATGAAACATGTAAATAATATCGGGAAAAAAATGTTTTGCAGGGTAGGGCTGATCTCGCTGGTATTACTCCCACTGTTTCGATCTTCCTGATTCCATGGGCGAAACCCATCCAAGAGCAAATGTCAGCAAAATCGAAAAAGGAGGCTCGGATGCCACGCGAGAAATTCATGCGCTGGAATTCTGGATTAGATGTTTCAAAAATATCTGGAAGCGCATAGTTTGTTTATGCCTGGATCGGTACTCAGCCTGAATCTTTACGACCGAACATGTTCTTCGATTCCAAGAATCTCACCGGACCTGGATCTCTCTCCGTTGCTTCGTAGGTTGGAGGCCAGTCTCTCTCTCTACTATCGAAGCTAGTAAGTTCCTTTCTCGTCTCTCTCTCTCTCTCCGTTTAGCAGAAGAGTTGCCAGTCTCAGGGATCTCATCCAAAATCTCCAAGCCCGGCTGATAGATACCTCAGCTGAGAGATTCACACGCGGAACCCGGCAGAACATTCGCGAAAGGAGCCTTCAATGGCCTCCAACCTAGTAGCGATGGCCTCCACCCTACTAGGGATGGCCTCCAACCTAATAGCGATGGCCTCCAATTCACGAAAAGAGCAAGACGTCTTCGTGACATCTTTCGGGTCAAGAAAGACACTGGAGACCTCAATCCGAATCATAGAAATAACAATGACAATAGTAATAGTAATAATCATCATCATCATCATCATCATCATCATCATCGTACCTCATCATCTCTGTCCCGAGGACCAACCAAGAAACACACAAAAAAAGCAAAGAACACCGCCCGAAACACCTCTTCTTTGCAGACCAAGGACTGCTCAAGTTCGCATCCACTGGGACAGTGAACCCTTCGGCCACCGAGGAGATCATGGTGGATGGCACATCCAACCTGAGCGGTCAAAATTGGCCGAGTGGAAGCAAAAAGAAGATAAAGAACAAGGTTGTTCTTTCTTTTGTTTTCTATAGAGGTGCATCGCTACTAGGAACAAAGGGCATCGCTATTAGCAACAAATCACATGACTGCTACTGTAGTAACAAGAAGCTACTAGGAGCTAATGCTAAGGGCATTACTAGTGGTATTGTTGTTTCGTTGGACCTTTAAACCTCTGAAGGACTTCCTTTTTGGTGATGTGACTCTCTTAGGAATGAGCCATTTTGGGCAATGCAGGGACTTAATGAAGGAAGCGCCAGACATGCCACTCAGTGATGTAAAAACACTCTGCAACAAGGAAAGCTGATCCTGAAAGCTTAAGCATGAACTTGGCTCTCTCCTAAATAGGTATACACAGTATAAATATATAAGTTCAGAGCAGGTGGCACAAACCCACATGATGGAATCGATTCGTAAATCACATGTTGGTTATGATTCTACTCTCCTCTGAAGTCTGAAGTCATGTTGTTCGCACAAAAACGTCTTCTCTTTCTTAGCCAAGTTTGTGTTGTTTGCCTCGAACAAACCGGCTCTCGATTTCCTCGACCAGGAGGCATCACAATCTCGGGCTGGCCAATCAGCCCGAACCGGGCCGTCGTGAGGTCCATACCTTGCGCAAGGAAGGTGCGCCCGCCGGTCAGCGGGTCAGCGTGCTACCGGACAACACGACGACGTCCTTGCGATCGGTGGAGGGTTTCCTTCCACCTTTCACAGTGTGGGACGACCCAGCAAGGGCAAGACTGCCACTCGAAATGGGCCACCCAGGTTGACCGCCACGGCTTTCATGTTTTGCTTTTGCAAAAGTCTCTTTCCTACGCGGGTATGCCCCAACTCAGCCACGTCTGCTTGCCTTCAGCAACACCTTCCAAAAGGTCGTTGTAGTACCAACCTGCTGGTATATAGAAACGCGCTCACTTGAGGATGCAAAGGAGATGATTCTGAATCCGGTCATGCACTAGGACTAGGCCCGCTTCGTGAAACAAGCCAGGGGAGAAGTCAGTCAGAAATCTCATCTTTTGCCTCTTGACAAAGACAGCTTTGAACAGCAAAGCTAAGTACAACGAGATAAAACAAGCAACAACATGCAAAACCTGCTAGAAGTCCTAATATCGTCCGGCAGTGCCTGGATTCTTGAACATCAAGCCACAGTGGCAATTGAAGGCCTCAGTTCACCAGGCGTGAGGTGGAACAATTCACTGTCACTGGCATACATTCCCAAACCCAAAGGAAGCGATGGCCTCCAACCTGACAGTGATGGCCTCCAACCTGAGCAAAATAGCCTCCAACCTAAGAGCAATAGCCTCCAACTTATCCAACCTAATAGCGATGGGCTCCAGATGGCCTCAACCCTAATAGCGATGGCCTCCAACCTAATAGCGATGGCCTCCAACCTACTAACCTAATAGCGATGGCCTCCAACCTAATAGCGATGGCCTCCAACCTACTAGCGATGGCCTCCAACCTCATGGCAATGGCCTCCAACCTAATAGCGATACCTACTTTGGCTTTATGGCAGTTGTTAAATATCTTATGTTCAAGCTTGTTCAACTTCCTCTGGAGATCTGCTTTCAGTGGGACTGCCCCAAGACATTAGACTCTGGAAAAGCATCGAAAAGCTGTGTTCTACACAGTCTTTTCGGTCGCCAAGGTGCGTTGTTGCCGGATCCATACATGCACCAGAAGTCATAGATCTCCTGCCCATCTACCAAAAACCGTCGGGGGGGCGAGCCATCTCCGTGTGTCTCAAAGCGTCCCACCCGGCGAAACGGAACCCCACCCAATCGGCCAGGGCGGTCCCCGGGCTCATCGCAGATCTCCATGCAGCGCTTGGCCACCAACGAGGTGTCCACGAACTCCCAGGCCATGCTCCTCGTGCCGTTCGCGGCGTGGCTTGCGTCCGGGACGACCAAGGGTGCCCAATGGTCGGAACTCGGGAGGGTTCTCTTGGGTGAGTGATGCTCTGAGGGCGTGAAGGCACTGAACCCGAATCAGGTGTTCGCATGCTGGTTCCCAGACCTTCCGATTCGGAAGATCAGGGCGTTGACAAAGAGGTGGAAGGATGCCATCTTGCTCCGAGGTCAAATATCACACATGGACACATGGGAGATGTGCACAGACACCCCAATTGAACGGAGCGACCGCACCGCAGCACCCCACGTGTGAAAAAGGGACCATGGACGAGCGACCAGCGACGGCCCGATCGTCTTGTCCCCAAGGAGCAATGGCCTCCAACCTAATAGAGATGGCCTCCAACCTAGTCGCTTCTTGCTACTAGTAGCTTCTTGTTCCTAGTAGGTCCTAGTAGTAAGGCCAGGAGTGCCCCTAGTAGCTTCTTGCTCCTAGTAGCGATGCCAGGAGCTACTAGTAGTTTCTTCTTACCAGTAGCGATGGCCTCCACCCAAATCCTCAAGACCAGGGCTCACGTCCGAAGTGGAACAATCTGCGCTGGACAGTGTCCAGGCGTTGTTCTTCGAGCTCTGTACCAGACAATAGTCGGTGCCTCGCGTGAAGGCAAGGACTTCTTTCGGGACTCCGTTTGGTGCAGTGAAGTCGGATTGCAAACAGAAAAACATCGAAAAAACGAGTCTTTCCTCGTGACTCGATGCTCTTCCGCTGTTTTGCATCGGTGCGAAAGTGAATGTTTGTGTACACTTGACTGGAAGTGACATGCTGTGGGTGGTTATCTTTTACTTGGTACATTAGTGGCTGATTCGCCCTGTCTTTTTCAGAACGCCCACTTGTTTGCAACCCCTTTATTTCGCGAAGACATGTCTTGTTTGGAGCACCATGGCTCCCTCGCCCCACGTCAAAACGCCCAGGCACCATTCACTTTCAGTTTTGCCGTCGCGGCGTCAATCCTGAGATCATCACAACGACCCGGTTTGTGGTCATGGTAGTACTTCCATATCTCTCTTCCACTGGTGTGGGGGGGATAGATCCTACTCTCAGTTCACCAAGCTATGAGATGCAGGAGTCCTTTCACTGGCGGGTGTTTCATTGAAGTTGCAGGGAAGAATTTCTGCATAAGATCAGCCCGGTGGAATCTTCTTGCACAGGCCCAGGGTTGATCTGTGATCTCCCCTCACTCTTGATAGACCTAATTCACACGCCTCAAATCCCAGAATCGTGACTGAAATCACCATAGTGTCCAATGAGTCCAATTGAGATCAATATCAATCTCCAATTGAGCATGAGGCAGCAAATAAGTTCTTACATATGATGAGTCAAATGCCACCATCTCAAGCTCTCAAAAAAAGTTTTTCACCTCCCAGATCGCACGCACTGGGAACTCCGGACTCAAAGGTTTGGAAGACATTGCTGAGATCACAAAGCTCCAAACGGGTCTCTGCGGCACCCAGGTAGCTCTCAGGCTCCTACACAACTTCGCGGCGCTTCGCTTCCACCACGCCGAAGCTTAAAGGAAGGAAGGTCGTGGCATGTTCAGCGTAGAAACCGGACCGCGGAGTCGTCCATTGTGACGGTCACGTGAGGGTCACTACTCCGGCGACCGACGAGCCAGGTGGCCGAGTCTGCCGGGGCTCCTGTTCTTGCCAGTTGCTAGGGACGAGCACCGTGAGGCACTTCTGATCTCAGGACACAAAAGAGCTCTTTCTTTCGGGCGAAACAACGCCCAAACACGTCGATCCCAAAACTGCCGTTTGGGCGCTTGCAGCCTGCTTAAAGAAATATCCCCGCAAGAGACCCCAAACAGTCTCTAAAGGTTTATGGTCTAGGGGTGTAGAAGCAGAAGGTCTAGAGATCTAGACGCACTGGGTTCCAGAGAAGGGTGACGGTGGTGATGATGATGATGGTGATGTCTCGATGGTGGCGATGATGGTGGTGGTGATGCTGGTGGTGGTGGTTTTGGTGATGGTGGTGATGGTGGTGATGATGGTGATGGTGGTGGTGATGGTGGTGGTGGCGATGATGGTGGTGACGGTGGTGGTGGTGATGATGGTGGTGGTGGCGGTGGCAGGGGTGCGCGATGTGAGTCTTGATGTGTAGAATTCGTGGCAGGTCACCACCACCACCACCACCCTCACCATCACCACCGCCACCATCGCCACCGCCATCACCGCCGCCACCACCATCACCGCCCGCATCACCACCATCATCGCCACCGTCACCACTACCATCACCACCATCGCCACCACCAAGGCGATTCGCAGCAAGACCACTTCCAAAGACAACATCAAGATGCCAAAAGCGCAGCCTTCGCTGGAGACTTCCTCTAATGTCTGAAAACGAGCCACATGTCCAAGTGTCACAAAGCACTGCACCTGCCACGAGATCAGCGCATGTCAAAGACCACGACCACCACCACCACCACCACCACCACCACCACCATGTCCTAAGTACTGCGCCTGCCACGAAATCTGCACATCGACATACAGCCACTCCACTCTCACGAAAAGTCAACGAAAAGTGATCACCAAGTCCCGAAATGCGCCACAACGAGAGCGCAGTCTCGAAGAGCAACCGCTCAGGCCAAGCGGATTCGCCTGCACAATCGAGATGCACTTCGAGGATTTCGAGAGGCATGAATGCACTGTAAATAGCAGCGAAATAGCAGGACACGGATGCGAGCACCTCGATCAGACACCCATCCTTAACACCTACCTTAAGAACCCCTAGTGTTACCACACTGTTGGGGGAATTGGTGCCGAAGACATTCCTCGTGGTGCGTTGTGACCCACAAACGTTTGTATGTGTGCTGTTGACTATTTTTTCCGGCGCTGTCTTGGATGATTCTCATCTGTCCCACTGGTCAAATCATGTGTGCAAGGACTTGAACAGCAACCGCAAGTCGTGACCGCAAAGAAGTACGTCAAAATATGTCACAAGCCGTCACCAAGCAGACAGCGTTGTCTTGCAAAACAGTGAGAAGCTGGGGAGCACGTGAAAGGTGTGAAAAAAGAAACAGAAACATGCGAAACATGCGCTCTTTTGAAAGGCAAGTCACAGGCCGGGTTCCACAAACGCCCTTCTGGCGTCAGTTCCCAGAGTTGATCCTCAGTATAGCTCGATGCTTCAAGGCGGAGTTTTCGCTGTTTTTTTGTTGAGCTGCTTGGCGGCTAGAGGCGAACGAGCGGCGGCTATAGAGCGGCGAACATAGAGCTCCTATTTGGTCTGGCAAAACTGAAACAATCCTTCGGATTCCCTCCCAACAGGTCAGTCTCGTGGTGAAAAAGCTGGTCCTTGCCCAGTCTCGGAATGTGGATTCTGCGTGTCACAGGTGCCCATGTAAACCTCCGTGACCTGTTCAGCTCCTGCGGGGCTGCACAGGTCAATCTCTCAACTCTCAACCGATCGGTGGCCAAGTCACCTTCGCCAGCTTGAAAAAACGGTCCGTTTCTCTTCCAGAAGAGCTTGTTTCTCACCGTTTCTTTTAGGTTCTCTTCCTCACCTCTCCACTTGCTCGCCCGCACGTGCGACTTTTCCGGCCTACCAGGGGAGTGCCCAGAGGATCGGCACAGGTCTGGTCCTGAAAGTGGCGTAACCTGTGGCGTGGGTCACATCGAATGGCAAGACATGAGTGTCGACGCACCCAAATTTGTGGCCACTGGGCAAAACATCTGACGAATCATATCGAACCATGGCCTGTGAATCGGTTGATTTGGTTGTCTCATCTTTAGAGTGAAAAGTTCTGGACGGAAACTCTCCGACAGGGGCTCACACGCAGTAAAACCTATCCGTTCGTGTTTCCGTCGTTGAAACACCTTCGGTCAAAGTGCGTTGATGTGCGATTTGCATCGAAGTGAGGAGTGCATCGATGACGAGCCACCCCCTTTTTCTGCGAACGGAGAGCGTTGTGACACCAACCCAAGGGTTGGTCGAAAAGGACGTGTCGACACCCAACTTTCAACAAGACGTGGCGAAGATTGCCATCCCTACTAGGTGGTTGGGAGCTATTAGGTTCCTGAAAGTTTCACTAATAGGTTCCTATTGGGGACGAACATTGCAAGAAGCTACTAGGGGCGCTCCTGGCATTAGTAACATCTAGTACAGTAACAAGAAGCCACTAGTAGCAAGGTGCATCGCTGGTAGCAGGGACGCTCCGAACGGAGCAGCTGCCTGGAAAAACCAGGTCCGCGTCCGGATCACCGCGCGAACAGCGATGGCCAGGTCACAGGCCACGCGTGGGCATCTGTCGGGCATCCGCAACCACGAAGCCGAAGCGTTGGTCAGAGAAGGACTGAACGGCGGACTGAGACCAAGAAACCCCACCTCTGCAGACTGGTTTGATGCGTTTTCTTTCTAAAGCCGAAAGAATAAGAGGAACTTGAGCAGGGGAAAGTCTCTGTGGTGCATCTGCGGTATTTATCCTGGATATCATAGAGTTCTGCTTTTCTCTTTGGATCAGGACCGTGTGAGTTGAAGTCGCTACTGGTTCCAGTGGGGGGAGACTTGTGAAAGGAATTGGTTTCTCTTCTAAAGTCGACTCGGCTCTCAGCATGTCTCATCTTTGTTACTGACCTTCACTGACCTTCACCGTCAAACTGATGGGAGACGTGGTGTCAATAAGAGATATATGATATATATGTATATGGTATATGTGTATGTCAGCTTACTAGCAGCAAGGACGCTACGGACGGAACCCGAGCCCCGTAGCCCCGTGGCCCCGTGGCTGTGTCCGGCCCCGCAAAGGGCGGTGTCGTGAAAGGGATGGGGTACCAAAGAGTCTGGACGATGGCGCCATGAGAGGCTACTAGCTTCTTGTTACTACTAGTAAGGCACCTGTTACTACTAGTAAGGCA